TTTCGGGCCTCATTTTTATCGAGTCGGGCGTCGAATCTATTTCGGGCCAAAATTCGATGCCCGACTCGATCTTTCGGACCAGACCGGGCCGGCAACCCTTATTATAGGTCCAAGGAAGGTTTAAGTGATTTAGGATAGAGAAACTAATTAATACCTAGACGAAGCTATGATTATTAACTATGTTTTATGGTTTCACAAGGGTTTAGGTTAGATCATTTTTAATAGTATCACGGGGTCACTTTAGTACGTGGGTGCAGGCTTTAAATTACAAATGTTATATCATTTGAAAGAGCTAGTCGAGCTGAGTCGAATGCCACCAAAATTAGCTCTAGGAAAAATTTTTGAACCGAGATACAGGCGATTGAAAATCGAAAAACCATAGGGGGGACCAAGCACTTTTTTGGGGTGAAAAATTCGAAAATGCAAATTATACCTCATTCGAAAGAGCTCGTCGAGCTGAGTCGAATGACACCAAAATCAACTAAATCCGACTTGAATAAACCGAGATATAGACCCCTAAAAATCGAAGATCCAAAAGGGCGATTATTGGAATAAAAAATTTTTTATACAAATAATACCTCATTCGAAAGAGCTCGACGAGCTGAGTCAAATGACACCAAAATCACCGTGATTGAACAAGATTTGACAAAGTTATGATATAAAAAACAAAAAACCTAAACCTATGGAGCGTCGGCGAGGCGCTTGTGCAAAACCCCGCGCTTCGCGCGGGGTTTTGCTGCACGCGCCTGCGGGGAGTCTACGGGCGATGGGTCTGGGCTCGTAACATAAACCTATTCCTAAATCCGTTGCTCTGGACGTATTTGGGGTCTCCGTAGCAGCAAAAATCTCGACAGATGCCATAGGTAAGGAGCTAAAATAAAAGATCATAACTTTGTCCAATCAAGTCGGATTTCGTTGATTTTGGTGTCATTCAACTCAGCTCGACGAGCTCTTTCGAATGAGGTATAATTTGCATTTTCGAATTTTTCACCCCAAAAAAGTGCTTGGTCCCCCCTATGGTTTTTCGATTTTCAATCGCCTGTATCTCGGTTCAAAAATTTTTCCTAGAGCTAATTTTGGTGGCATTCGACTCAGCTCGACTAGCTCTTTCAAATGATATAACATTTGTAATTTAAAGCCTGCACCCACGTACTAAAGTACAGCCAGTATCACAATCCTTCAAACCCTGCGGATTGGTGGATTCCCTAAAAAGGCGGATTTCAAAATTTTCAAAATTTGTCCAAGTAGGATTAAACTTTTTGTTGTCATTCTACTCTGATTTATGAGCTCTTCCAAATGAGCAATCATTTCCATTATCGAATTTTTCATGCCAAAGATGGGCCTAGCCAGACTAGTGTTTTGCGATTTTACGATTTTCATGAGTTTTAAGATCTTAATATTAAAAAAACGACTTCGTTCAGACCAAATTGATCCGCTAAACCAGAGTGAAATAAAGGCGGAACGGTTGATGATGATTAGCGATACAACCAAATTCGCTCGGCTCGTCTTTAAATTTTAACAAAAAACGCTTTCTACATGATAAATTGGAAGGCTAAATTTCAATCCACGCAATTTGTGTTAACATTAGCTTAACAGATTTCTCTCTCGTTTATTCTCACTTAAAATTCTACTTAGCCAAAAAAGCTGCGTCTTTATTTTAATTTAAATTTGTTTGTTTTTGGAATTTATTTAAGCAGATGTGAGTGAAATATAAAACCCTTTGCCTAAAAAAAATAAAAATTTTGTAACAAAAACACTTAAAATAAAAAATTTGTTTAAAAAAAGATTTTTTTAAAGATTTTTAATTAAATTTTTGAAACGAAAAATGAAGCAAATTAACAATTGGATCCAAAAAATATTATTTCCTTTTCGCCACAAATGTCCAATTTGTCATGCTAATTGGAGCCATCAATTGCATGGATTTCACCAATACCTTCAAGTTTTAAAATTAATTTTTAAAAATGTTTGAAAAATATTTTTAAGGCAAAAACACCCCTAAAAAAGACAATTTGGGTTTTTACAATTTTTTATTTTTTACTTTTTGCAATTCATTATTCTGTTTTTTTATTAAATGATTATGTTGATAGAAGAGTGGTAAATTATTATAGTTAAATTTAAAAAAATTTTCTAATTAAAATTTTTTTAAATTCAGATAACTTTAAATACAATACATCAAGTATATACAAAATATTATTTTTTTAATAAATTATTTTTAAAATTTTATTAGGTTAAAAGGCTATATTTCCCAAATATAACAATATGCCCCAAATATGTAGATTCACTAAATTTTACAGCTATAGAACAAGTTTTGTTAATATAAATTACTTGAAATAAATATAAAAATTTATAAAAATAAATTTGGAACATTAAAATAATAAGGCTAACAAGAGGATTAATTATTAACTAGACTTTACCAAGTAAGCTTGTAGGAGGGTGACTTTTTACTAGAGTTGGACAAAACGATACTGGTATCGGCCAACCCGAGACCGAGATTGACCGATACTCAAGAACCCGATACCGAGACCGATATCATCATTTTGAGCCGAGACCGATACCGAGAAACGATACTGACCGAGACTAACAGAAAATTTTATTTTCATCAAAAAATACGTGTAAAAATAATTTCTTTATTATTTTCATCATCCAAATCATCAGATAAATACTCTTCATCATCTGGATCCGATTCGATTGATTGTTAACATCCTTTTTTTTATAAAAAATACAATAGTAGGATTTATAGGTAAATGGATTATAGTCTACTTATACAATTATAGTCCACTTAATCCGCCATTAGCTTTCCAAATATAACGATATCCGCCTTACATTCGATATCCCTCCAAATCCATTGATATCACCTTAAACACCCAACTCGCTCCAAATAACCCTGTATTGTATTTAAGCCTTTTAATGTTATCAAATTACTGGGACTCAGTTGATCTAGATAAAAGTGAAACTCAGTCGTGCAAACTCAATCGTGAGGGCTTAGTGAAATGTTCGGATTTTGTAAGGCAAATAAAGAAGGATTCACTCTTTTCAGCGCCGCAGGCGAAAATTTTATGAAATTTAGAAGGCCAAAGGTCAAAAATCCTCATTTTATTAAAAAATACAAGAAAATTGGAGTCTTTGAGTCAGTATCGTTTCTCGCCGAGAAATGAACCGAAAATATCGGTATCGGTTTCGAGACCGAGAATGAAAAAACCGAGACCGATATTGGAAAAAAGCCGAGAATCTCGGTATCGGTCTCGGTATCGGTCTCGGCTTGTCCAACTCTACTTTTTACCCATTCTAGAGTGCATTTTTTCTATTCTTGATCCTAGCTTTTCTTGTTCTAGCTTTCTCGTACTCTTACATTTGTTAATGACAAATGTAGAGAAAAAATCGCTAAATCCCTCGTATCCCTCTTAATTTTTCTTTATATTGTTACAAAAATATCGAAAAATATCGATGTTAAGAAACTGATATTTTACGATATCGTATAGATATTATCGAACGACCACTAATGTTCGGTCTCTATTTGTCATATTTTTACCATTTTGGGATATTTTTCTCTTTTTAACACTTTGCTTTTATGTTTTTGGGAAGGCAATCCTGATTTGTACTGTCGGGGAATAAACTTAAAAACTTACAATATAATACCGTATTTCCTATATTAGAGCCCCACCCTCTGTTAGAGCCCCACCCTCTAATACAGCCCCACTTTGGAGGATAGTTGAAAAATAGAGCCCCACCCTCAATTAGAGCCCCACCCCAAATACAGCCCCACCTAAAAATATTGGAGGAAAAAATATTAGAATAACTTTTAAGATGTATGTATTAAGAGAGTTAAGGAAATAAAGGGGGATATCTATGATTTCGTGATCATTGAGGAGGAGGGATCATGGGGATTAGGGATGAAAATGAGGGATTAATCCCGTTATCCGTCAAAATACTCTAATATCGCCTATATTCCTCTAAATTCCTCCTACATATTACCTCCAAAATCTAATCATTTTATAAAGGGTTGCAATCGTGTTAGGCACTTGATGATAATTCGCGAGATTATTAGAGATCTATTAGATATCTAATCAGTGATATCTAACCAAAATTTCTCTGGAACCGATTTCAGTTACGTAACTGCTATTTGAATTTCTTCAGTTCCAGTTCTGGAACCTGTTCCAAAGCTTTATCAAACAAATCCCTTCATATGCCTCCTAATACCCCTAGTCCAGAATATCCCTCATAATCCCTCTAAATCTCTCAATATAAACTTAATCCTCTGATATTCCCCATAATCCCTTAAAATCCATTTTTATCCCTCTAATCCATCAATGTCAAATAAAAGTCCCATAATATTTCCTTTAATCCGTCCAAATCTACCCATGTTTAATAATTAATCTTACTCTCATTGAACTATTGGGACTATTTTGTAATTCATTGCTTAAAAAGTTTTGGTTTTTCTTGAAAAATCGAAAAATATAGATTCTCTTTCGATATTTTGCGGCTTTATCGACCAAACCCTCCGACTTATCTCTAGTTGCAATGGATATAATAAATGGGATTCTATCTCAAAAGAGGGTTGAAAAATAGAGCCCCACCCTCAATTAGAGCCCCACCCTTTAATACAGCCCCACCTTGGAGGATAGTTGAAAAATAGAGCCCCATGGGGCTCTAATATAGGAAATACGGTATATAAAATTTAAAGAATAGGTAAACATAAAATCTTGAACACCAAACTTTAAACTTGATCAATCAACCTAAATAAAAATAATTATAAAACAAATTATAACTTCAAATATAAAATTATAGATGTACATCTACGCTTGCCAAACATGACAAATAACGAAACAAACCAATTAATCCTTTATGCCATGGCAGGCGCAGGATTTCAACATTTTGACGTTTTTAATAATTTGGTTACAAAGGAAGAATTAATTAAATTAACGAAATTAATTAGTCAATGGAGGGGGAATCGAACAAAATTGGCTTTTTATCAATTTTTATTTGAAATAAATGGATTTAAATGTGAAGAGGTGTTTTTTGAGAAATTTTAATAATATTTTTTTTAATTTTTAAATGTTCCATTCTTGTATGTATGGGAAGAGACGTATTCCCTGTTGCGATATTTTTCGTCCAACTTGTAAATAAAAATAAATTAAATTTAAAAAAATTTTCTTTTGAAGATGTAATGCTTAGAGGGAGATGTTTTAGAATGCGTGCTTTTGCCCAAACAGAGCCCGATGAGGCTGGGAAATTAACTTTGTTTTTTAAGGAGATGTCATCTAGTTATCTGGCAGTGACTGGAAGACAGGCATTTTTTTAGAATTTAATTCTAAATTGAAAAAAATCCTTAATAATATTATAAACGGGTTCAGAAGTCTAATAATCATCTTATCTCTCTCAAAATTATGAAGAGTTTAAAAGGCCAAACAGCCAGATTTCTTCTATTATCAGCGCCGCAGGCAAAAATTTTGAGAATCTAGGAAGTTCTGAAGAGAAAAAATGGAATTTTATCTTAAAATCTACAAGAAAACAAAAAAATTCCCATGGTCTTAAAAAGCCCACAAAAATCCGCAAATCCACATTTTTAAAAATACTCCTCATTAACAATCAAAAAACTATAAAATGAGGAAAAATCCGCAAAAATCGAAGCATTGTCTATAATTAACAATAATTTAGATTTTTTTTTGATTAAAAATTTAAATTAAAAAAACAATTTTTAAAAAATTTAAGCGTCAATTAATTGTCTATTTATCTCAACAATATGAAGATATTCCAACTTTTCCGCGTTTTTATTTAAATAATAATTATTGGTATAGACTTAGATTAAAGAAAAGGCACATTTCTTTATTAAATGTTAAGTTGGGAAATTTATTTTTAAAAAAGTAATTATTTATTTTAGCCAAATCAACATTGCTCTCCCGTTGAAAAATATATTAAAAGAGGGAATTGTTATGTTGATTCTTGGTTAAAGTAATTTTTAATTAAATATTTTAATGTTCAAGACTAAAATACATAATTCAAATGAAAATATAATAATAAATAAGACCTGGATTTTTGGTTTTGTAGAAACTAAAATAGTTACCAAACCAGTAGGGATGTGAGAGAGTAAGAGAACACGGAACTTGGGAAACAGAAAATTAACAAAAGAGAATTAACTTAGGAGTTGGTTTAATAAATTTTTTATTTCAAATAAAACTGCCCCGAATTAAAAAAATTTTTTGGAAGGCCAAAATAAATTTCATCAAAAATATTTACTGAGCTAAAAATGCGGAATCGGGAAACAGAATTTTCAAAAATATCGGAATTCTGAGGAAAACGGCAAGAGATGATAACACATACATGATAGAGACCGGACTGGAAGTGTCGTATGAATATCGAGATCTCTAATAATTCTCGATCTCGATAACCGAGATTTTCGATTGAGATCCCGTCTTAATCCGGTCTCTAATACATAATATTCTCAGTTTTTATATTGACAAAAAATCTTTGGATCATATTCTATAATCTAAAGATCCAATTGGGCAAAATTCTTTAAAATATTCTCAATTTATTTTTTTTCAAGTGAACGTATTATTCAACCATTTAATTGTACAATATTTTATTTTTCTCATAAATATCCAAAATTGGATGTTTGTGACCCTGAAATAATTTTTAATAATTATTTTTCTATAATGAATGTTGTTGATAATTTATCTGTTTATCAAAGCATTTCTAAGGTATTTTTTCTAATTCTTTAAAAAATCCTTTAAAGAAAATTCTTTAGTGTCTTCCAAAGTGTGAACGTGATATTATTGACACACAATTATTTTCTAATAAATTTCAAGACCAAAGAAGCAATGTTGGGGCTAAGAACAAAAAATTCCATTTCCATTTGGAGGCTTCTTATGAAAATTTACAGGTGACAAAAATGGGCTAATTAAATAAAAATTTTTTGAAGACAAAAATGTAGGTAATATTTCCCTATCTTTTTGCACCCTGATGTCTTTTCCTTTTCTGGACACCCCAACTTACCGAATAGCTATAACTTCGTTCAGAATGATCGAATCCGGGACGCCCTAGTATGGTTCGATTCAGCTCGTCGAGGCGCATCGAAACATACAAGGGCAACTCTGAACGAAGTTATACTCTGCGGTAAGTTGGGCTCACGGTAAGTTGGCCTGCTCCCGTCCATTTAAATCTAACAAAAAATTTATTTATCAAAAATATCATTTTTAATCTCAAAAAATTATTTAGGAGGAAGTTTATGAAGAAAAATTGACTACAACACTTCCCGGTATTTTAAAGAATTTCAAAATTATTTTCAAAAAAAATTAAAGGTTTTATATCCCAAATTGGCGGCCAATTTAGTTTTTTTCTTGGAATGTCTTTAATTTCTCTACTTCAATTTTTCCTAATCCCAATAATTAATTTTATTGGAAATCTTGTAATTAAAATTAAAACATTTTTATTTTCTACAAAAAAAGAAAATTGTCAGGACGTCCAAATGATTTTTTATAAAACATATTTCGATGAAATGATTTCACAACATTAAATAAATTTTTTTATTTATACAATTTTGGCTACAAATCTACAGTCTGTTAAGAAATTATTATGCCAGGGAAATTTTTGCACTTTACCCCACTTCCAATTAAGCTGGAATTTATGCCTTTGATAGTTTACCGATAAATATTAAGACCCTCGAAGAAAACTGAAAATTTAAAAGAAAAAATATTTCATTTTCCAACTGTAGGAAATTATAGCGCCAAAACTTAAAATTTAACAAATTTCTCTGGAAATAAAAATAGAATCAAAAAATAAAATATCAATATTTGGTACATTTCTATTCAAATTTTAGTACAAATATAAGATGTTTTAGCATTGTGTGGGTGAGACGGAACGATTCCAACTATGTAATTATTTGAAATATTCTTAATTTTAATGAAAATACATATATGTAGGTATATTTAATTTAAAATTAAAAAAAAATTTTTTTTATTAAAAAATTATTTTAATTAATCAATATTAAAAGAAATATATTAAAAGAAAAAATTACATATGATAAAGTGTATTCACGTGCCTGCTCACTTAAAAGCATCTATTAAAAAGAAAGCTGAAATTTATAGGCTACTTAAAACTGATAAAATTAAATATAAAGAATTATATGATAGCATATCATTGCATATAAAAATTCAGTCTAGAAATTTTCATAATAAAAAACAAAATGCTTATATTACTAAAAATATAAATTCTATTCATAAATATCTTAAAAGATTTAAATTTACAAATAATGAAATCCCTGTGCTTTACCATAATAATAGATATATAACAAAATCAATAGATAAGTCTGAAATTTTTGCTGATATCTTTCTTGAAAATTTTTCTAATACAAATATGCAATATAACCACAATATCAATAACAGCAATCAAATATTTATTATCGAAGATATTGATTTTGACATAATTGATATTATCAATTTCATTAAAAAATTACCAAATAAAAATGGGACTTCACCTGATAATATAAATTATAAAATATTAAAAATTGCACTTCCGTCTATAGCTCCTGTTCTGTCTGAAATATTCAGAATATCACTAGATTCAGGTATATTACCAAAAATATGGAAAGAATCTATAATTATGCCACTATTCAAAAAAGGAGAAAAATCTAATCCTGAAAATTATAGACCCATTGCATTAACATGTGCCTTATGCAGAGTCATGGAAATGGTTCTTAATAAATACATCGTTCAATTTCTTCATGACAATAATTTATTTAGTGATAATCAATTTGGATTTATAAAAAATAGATCCACTACAACACAATTAATTACTACATTAGAAGATTGGTATGATGCAATAATGGGAAAAAAGAATATTGACTGCGTATACATTGACTTCAAAAAAGCATTTGACTCAGTACCACATGATCTTTTACTCAATAAATTATATAAAATAGGTATTAGAGGAAAGATTTTAACTTGGATTTCATGTTTTCTTTCAAATAGAACTTTTAGAGTCAAAATAAACAACACGTTATCCAAACCTAGAAATATTAAATCAGGTGTACCACAAGGATCCGTTTTAGGCCCATTATTATTTCTGATTTACATTAATGATTTACCTGATATAATCCCAAATGGTATAAAAATTAAACTTTTTGCTGATGACGTCAAAGTATATGTTATACATAAAACTAAAAATGAAAGAAGAATGCTAACTGATGCTATCAAAAATATTGAACAATGGGCAACTGAATGGAAATTAAATATTGCTATTAATAAAACATATATCATTTATCTTGGTAAAACTAACCCTAAAGATCAATATAAAATTTTTAATACAACTATAAATGAAGTAGATTCTATACGTGATCTAGGCATCATAATAGATAATAAACTCAAATTTCAAGAACATGTACAAAAAATTATTCGGGCAGCTTATATAAAAATGAATTTTGTGTTTAAAATAATTAAATCAAAATCTATAAAAACATGGCTTACTATCTATAAAAGTTATATAAGACCCTTGCTTGAATACTCTCCTGAAACATGGAATCCACAGCTAAAATCTGATATTATCAAACTCGAAAAATGCCAAAAATTCTTTACAAAAATCTTACTTCGAAAATGTTCACTACCCTATATACCATATTTACAAAGATTGGAATTTCTTAATCTTCCTACTCTTGAAAATCGTCGTAAGACTTATGATTTAGTATTAGCTCATAAAATCCTACACGGGTATACACATCTTAAATCAGATGATCTTTTTAAAGTATCAAATAGAAAAAACTGTTATTTGTTATCTAAAAATCAAACATCAAAATCTTCCAATTCATTTGTTAATAGGGTAACCAAGATGTGGAATGTTTTAAATGATGAACTCAGAACTACAAAAATAACACTTAGTTTTAAAAATAAAATAAAAGCAATACTAATTCAGTAAATCTACAATTTTGAAAAAATATTCTGAATTCTAATTTCACTTACCTATTTGGAAAAAATATTCTAAATTCCAGTTTCACTTTCCTATTAACAAATTAAATCCAAAAAATCTTAGATCTAGAAAATTTTCCAATTTCATCACAAATAGCATCATTCAGAATTGACAGCTATTTCAAGCTCAAAGCCTCTAAATTCTTACAATGTTTAAAAAATCGTAGTAAAATTTCAAAATTTTTCATGTTACATGTCCAAGATTCAAATGTTTATTTTGAATGTTAATTTCTTAGGAAGAAATAAAATGTTATCAACTTTATAAGAAATAAATAAAAAATATTTACTTTATATAAAAAATCCTCTGTTAAACGTAATTTTTCCATTTTTTTTTTATGATCAAGTAAAGAATGTAAAGATAATTTATCAAATAGTCTTTTACTTAAATTCATAAATTTCCAAAAATTAAGGGTTTTTTACTAATTGAATATGAACTAAACATATTCTCAGAATTCTAACCAAATCATGTTTACTTAAATGCTTAGAAATTGTAAAAGCAAAAAGTTAGGCAATTTGTTAAAATAATCATAAAAACATTTTTAATGTTTTTAAATAATCACCTATTTTCTAGTATATAGATTTTATTTTTTTCTATATAGTAGCTATATATTGTTATTTTTCTTTCCTTTTTAAGTAAACATTTAAATTATAATTTTGAATTATGTTTGGCATTCTGTTCAAAAAAATTAATTTAAATGACAATTTATACAAGCATCTCTTACTCTTTCGCATTCCCACTATTTCTTCTTTTTGATGACTCATAAAATTAAATTTAAAAAAAATTTTTTTTTTGTTTTCTTCTCTCCTAATTTTTATTAAAATTTATCTTTTTTTTTGTTTAAAAAGCATTTTATTTTTTTTCTTTTAAGGAAATTTTAAAAAGATATTTAATTGGGTAATATTTTTTTTTGTTGACTAAACAATGTCTAAGCGCAATTCTTCTGAATTCTCTCCATTAAATTTTGCAGCAAATATGACAAACAACGAAAAACGCAGCAAA